CATCCTCCACTGGCTCCACATGGAACGTATACTGATCTACACCAGCGTCAGTCATAGGTTCGATCCACTGTAATTATTTCAATTATCGTAAGTAAAATGGAGTTTACTTTAGCCCAAATTTTAATAATGCTCACACAGCACGTATGTCAAAATTTTAACATAACACGTTTTGAGATGTCTTGTGTTCTGATTTTGGACATATTGTCTAGATATTTTTAAAAATCTTGGCCAAATTAATAGATCAATTCTAAGCAGAATCGTAAGCCTCGTAATTCGTAAGACTTGCAAGAACTTATAACTGTTTATTATGCAATATCTTTACACCTTTTTACTAACCGTAAAATTTACGAGAAATCGTAAGATAATGAATGATTGTACATTTTATGGTACATAGAAAATATCACTTCAATCATAAGGTCTTACAAATCTTATGAGAACAAGTTATTATTATTACGAGCTTTACTTCTGCTTAGAATTGACCTATAAAGTTACCTCATGGCTACATTCAGGAATTACGCCTAGATAACTCTAGGGCGCATTTTTGCTATAACATACGTAACGTAACCTAAAATCTATAGCTTAGAGTTATCTGGACGTAATTCCTGAACGCAGCCCATTTTACATTAAATTATTAGGCCTGTATATTCAAAACGCTTACAACAATGTTATCGCGTTAACATATTATAGTTTACGATTTACGTTACACACACTACAGAATTTCAGAGATAAAAGCGCGCTTTTATAGATAAAAACGCGTTCTGAATACGACTCTTAATTTATAAAATTTAAAACATGTTATCCTGCAGTTTCTGGAAAATCCCGTTTAACTTGCGCATATACCTGCTCCGGTTTGGATACCATCATATGTGTCTCGAAGAAAGCATCTTTTATTTTACTACGAAGACACTTGACGATCGGATGACCGAACGTTAGATTTGGAACAAAATGACCGTCCATCACGTCTAGGTGCAAGTAATCCGCGCCATTATCCAATAACTTTTGCGACTCTTCGTAAATTTGCGCCAGGTCGCTGTTTAAAACCGATGGGCCAATTTTTGCGCTCAAATTCTTTGCCATGCCGTCCGGAATGTATCAACGTGCGCGGGTGAGAATGTCCCGCGAAGCTGCTCCCAAAAAAATATATGTAAACACGTATGTTGTTCTATACACAGATAAATTAAAATAAAATGTATTCAGCGTGATGTACGTACTTATTACGTAAACGAGCAGTAAACGAGACTCGTGTAGCTAGTGAATAACCTATATTGCTCAACATGAGCATGCCCGATTCAGATTAGGTTAGTCTTGATTTCTGCTAGCACGTGGAAAGTGGAAACGTGGAAAAACCCTTGAAATAAATAAAGATAAAATCAACAAACAATTGTCTGGGACATGAAATTTGGTCATAAAACCATGATTTCAAGCTTGTACACATTTGATTTTTATAGAACGTTATAAGTCTTACCTGAACGTTTATTTTACAATGTAAACAAGCCACATTAACGGAGCATATTGAAATGGAGGTTCCTATCGAGACACGAAAACCGTCGAAGATCGGCTTATTTTTTATTGCCGCTACAGGTTCGTTAATATTATTTTTGTTATTGAATTGAAATTAATCAGTTGCGCTGATTTCAATAAGTCGGTCTTTCCCTGTGCCGCTAGGCGGGATTGCAACAGCGATTAGCGTCGTAATTTGTCAGCCCTGCGTTTCGCAAGATATGTTTGCCATACGTGCCAGCTACGCATCAACAAATAAAAAACGTTATTCGAGCGTTAAACGGTCGTTCCGGTTCCTTGATTGATCTCGGCAGCGGCGACGGACGTATTGTAAGTATGATAATCGCGAGTCACGCGAGTTACCGAATCACAAGCAAAGAATATTTACATATTATGGCTATTCTTCTTTTAGAAGACATAATCGACACAAGTGTCGTTTTATCTTTGTTATTCACTGAATGTCAAGGAGAATAGAATGATGTTTATGTCAATTGCTTTCCTTTTAGAAGACTTTGAATGCTTTCAGGCTAAAGACATAGATGATACAGTGAGTATTTTCCAGCAAGAGACACAAGATCTGTTTTTTATTTCTGTACAAACTAGACTGCATTGGATTCTTTTTTTTTTGTTTTTGCCAAATATCAAACATATCTGATTCACTTTAAGTTCTAAAAATATATTACTACTAGTTCAGCTATAAGAAACAGATTTACAGTGTATCATAATGATCATCTCAGCTTTGTTTAATATTGACAAACAAGGATGTAATAATTCACTGTGTTATATTGTATCATCTGCTATTGTGTCTCTTGCTAGAAAACACCCAGAGTCTCCTAAAAGAAAAACAGCCTATATGTACACTTTTAAAAAATATAATTTTATATAGATTAAAATAAGTAAAAAATGCAAGCCAATGTAAGTCGACACTGGATAGTAGCGTGTAAAACTTGTGTGTAACAATAATTGACAATTACAGACGTTTCGACCATAATTTAAATCATTTTCGGTGTAACAAATAAGTAGTAACAAATTCAAATATGGAACATTACATTAAATTTTGATATAATATCAATGAGACGCTTTGTAAAACCGATGATATGTCGCAAGTGTAATGTCAAAAATCGTTCATGGATAAAATCAACCGTCTATTGTATTTAGAAGAATACATATTTTGATAGTCCAATATTAAAATATCGAACTGAAATATTAAACGCACGATAGAATATCTCAGTTCAATTTACAAGCTGCTCAAAAACTTACATTAATTTAAAGTCTTATAAGTTGTCAAATAGAGCACATGCATATCTGGTAAAAAACGCTTATTTCCAAGCATTCTTACCCAGATAGCAAAGCGTGTCTCAGCAAAATTACACAAATCTGTGATTGCTTATGATGTTGGCAACTTGCCATAGATTTGTCTTCAACGATTTCGAATATACCGACATTGTAGCAACATGCAGGCAACAATGTGTATATGTATTGCAGTTTAATAGCAAGATAGTTGCATTAATGTTATCTTGTGTTGTCGGCAATATGAAAGCATTGCATGATGCTGCATATTATTATGGCAACATGATGGCAGTAGTGTAAATTTTGATGATGACGATTTTAAAGCAACGATTTTGTCGACAAACTGCTGGCAAGTTGCTACTCAAAGTTATCATATCATGAAGACATCAGTTGCCAACAAATGAGGACTCAGTTGCTGCAATTCTGGTAGCAACACATGCTTAGCAATGCATACTTAGCAAGCAACATGCCAGCAACAAGATAGACACGTTGCTATCAGGTAACTGCTAGTCTGGGTAACTAATAAAGAACAAGTGAGTGTATTTATGTATAACTGTTAGAATCATAAATAAATACAGGATAAAGGCATGGGCGTTGACTTTTGTGGGAAGTGTATGGAGTATTCTATACGTCAGAATTTTTTCATGTACAGAATTCCACATATAAACTATTTTTTCAAAATAAGTGTTGATAATAATTAGTGCTTTTTTCTGCCTTGAGAAGAATGAAAACGTATTTGTGTTCTACGTTGCAACAAGTTCAATTTCAGAAATTAGCCTTTTATTTAATATTTTTTCCTTGTCTAAAATCTTAACGTTCTAGTCGGTCATTTATATATGTTATATACATTATATAACGGGATATAATTTTTTATGCATTAAATGTAAGTATTTAATAAAATAAAATTTTTGGATTATAATTTTTATGAACAAAAAATTCTTATTAATATAATTTTATAAATATAAAGTTTTAATTAATGACCAGAAGTTTAGCAACCTTAAAAAGAGTATTCTTAAAAAAAAAATCCGGTTGTGGTAACCCTATACGCAAGAGACATGCCGTGAAATGCAAAACAGAGATAAACTTTTTTACTTTTCCAACGACCACAATAAATGAGATAATTTATAAATAGGTCCTCGCGGTGGCAAAGCGTGGCTTTAAGGCCCACGGTATCGAGTTAAATACCTGGCTAGTATGGTATTCGAGACTTCAAGCGCTGATTAACGGTCTGTCGAGTGACACTGCGTTTCATAAACAAGATTTATGGAAACATCATTTGGGAAAATATGATAACGTCGTTATATTTGGCGTAGATCAAATGGTACGTTTTTTTCCTTAATATTCATCGTGACCCTTGAGAAAAAACAAAATGTATATCAAGAAGTCTTCTTCCATCTTTTTTACAGATGGAAGATATTGAAAAAAAGTTCAACAGCGAATTGAGCAAAGATTCCCTCGTAATCGCATGTAGATTTCCTCTTCCTAACACGCATCCTGTTGTAACGATTGGACATGGAGTTGACACCGTTTGGATTTACAAGATACCCCAGAACTGAATTTGAGGTAACAAAGGATATACATTTAGATTGAATAAATTATAATACAAAATAATTGTTGTGCATTTAATATATTATTTATATGTTTATTGAAGTACAAAAAATGTACAATTAATGATCTTTGTATTTACAGTAAGAAAATAAATCTGTATTATTCCTAGATTAATGTGCCGTGAATAATTAAATAAGTTATGTTATTTTGTTATATTTACGAAACAGCTCTGACCTACTTATATAATCTCTATCATGCTATCTTAAAATGAATGAGTGAATACACTTTTCAACTCATAAATTTCTGTTATTATAACGGACTATTCAATGCAATAAATATGCATTTTACTACCTGTTATAACGTTTTCTTACCTGTTATATCTAAACTTACTTTTTTAAATGTAATTTTTGAACACTATAGGATTCTTTTAAAATGCATAATGATGTACACAAATTGCATTTATAAATAATTAATATTAAATATTATATATACAGGATAAGGTATTTAAAACAGGTCACTTGAATAACTTGCTTGTTTTTAACAATAGAAGAAAAAGCGCTAAACAAAAGTTGCATGGTTTCAAGGTGGACGTATTTTGGTCATGCTGTCTTTCTTTTAGGTGAAGGCACTAAAGGTATGAAAGTTACCTTCATTTTTTTAAACAGAATTGTATGATTTTTTTTACACAATATAGTTCCTCTAATTATTCTGCATGTAAAAGTATTTAAGGTAGTGATATCAAAAAATAATTTACGAGATATTTTATACTTTATTCTGTCTATTGTGTGTTTTCTTTCCACCAATTGATTCATCCTATTATTCTGTTCATAAAAAGTATTAAGATATGATTATCAAAAAATTAATTAGTTTTAAAAAAGCTGCTTTTTTTCAAATTACTGGAAAAAAAACCGGAAAAATTTCAGTTTTTTTCCAAAAAATTGGTTTTTTGGAAAAATTGCTATTTTTGCTATGTAAAAGACATAATAAGTAACTTCTAAATTCCTTTATAAAATTCCTTTATTAATGCGATCTATGAAATTATATAGCATTATCTTTATTAAAATTTTTTAGTTATCCTTCTATTTTTATAGTAAAACCTAATCTAACCTTCTTTTAGTACATGGTAAAACTTAAGTAGACAGATTTTTAACTCTAGTTTGTCACACTCTGGTCTAATGAACTCCTGAAGTGTCTCTGTAGGTTTTTTTTCCAAATATTTTATTACGAATTCAATTTAGATCCAAATTATTTTCTAAACCTACTATTATCATATAAACGTGATGTTTGGACTCTATATTTTTAATTCTTACATTAATGGTGCAATAGTATATGTTTTGTATGTTTTATTGAATATATTATGCGACCTCAATCTTTTATACAATTTCAAAATTTCTGTTGACTTATCCCGCCGTGTACCTTATACGCAATTATTTTCTTTACGGAAGAATCGAGAAGCAAACATGGTAGGTTTTACAAGCACGCGTGAATTTTTCCAAAATAAATTTTTCTATCCTTGCGAAAAAAAAACCGAAAAAATTCGCGGAAAAATTGGAAAAATTGGGTTTTTTTCCAATCCTTTAAAACTATAAAATTAATAATTTACGAGATATTTAATATTTAATATTTTGTGCCAACATGTGACAGAATAAAGTATAAAATATCTCGTAAACTATTGATTTTTTGATATCACTACCTTAAATACTTTTACATGCAGAATAATTAGAAGAACCATATTGTGTAAAAAAATCATATAATTCTGTTTAAAAAAATGAAGGTAACCTTCATACTTTTAGCGTCTCCACCTAAAAGAAAGACAACATGACCAAAATACGTCCCCCTTGAAACCATGCAACTTTTGTTTGGCACTTTTCCTTCTATTGTTAAAAACAAGCGAAATATTCAAGTGAACTGTTTTAAATGTACCTCACCTTGTATATATAAATGCATATCAAGTGTTATAAATGCAATCGCATATATACAGTCTGTAAGATTTTAATTATATGATTAATGATCTGTGATAAAGAACTGAGCAATGAGATTTGAAAATCCAACAACAGGTATAGCTAAATGGAACAATATTGAACATGTACCTAACTTTCCTTCTTTCTTCAAAATGGATAAATGCAGTAAATTCGGGAAAGTGAAAACATAGATAAGTCCGCTTAAAGCGCCAGTATACCTGACAATAGTTCCGATATAAGGTACAAACGTCGCGAAAATGATACATATAGAAACCAATACGAGATTAATGGAGAGCACTAAGCCTCTGTTAGACGCTCTTTTCCATATCCATGAGAGTAACTGAATACGTAGTACATACGCGAGTAAAGGATAGACAGTCACTAATTGAAAAAGTAGCACTATACGAGCACCTATCGTAAGACCATCCCATTTTTGAAAATTATTTAGTAGGTTCTACAATAAAATAAGATCTAATTTAGAAAACATGAATTGTTATATTATATTGAATATTTCATCGTTTCTACAGAAAGATATTATGCGTACTTACATCTTCTATGCACGACTTAGGCAATGGGAAGCACATAAAAAATGTTACTCCAACGATGATATAAGTTAACGTGACGAGGACATATGCTATGGTTAAATCCCTTCCCTAAAAATAAAATCATTTCTATTTACTCCTTGCAACGGATCAATATACAAGAAGAAAATATGATTTAAAGTAACTAACATTCTTTTCTTGATTGCGATTACTTTGCATTATGTTGATTACAATATTGTGGATGAAGAATGACATTGCTAACAGCCCGGTAAATGCAGGAAACGTGGGCCGTATTACCCAACTTGTTCCCCATTCGACTTGGTCCATGTTGATGCCCCACGACGCTGATTTTATCACAACGAAGATAATCAAATACATAACTGACACTGTTCCTGTGAGATATATATTAAAAATTTATATCTTGTAATATCAGAATTGTATATACAATAAGATATTAAAAGCATACTCGTATATGGTCAGATGGTATATTAAATATAAAAATAGCTAATGATGCATATATATAATACATATACTTACCGAGAGAATTAAACTTTGTGAAAAATGTTGTACTGTTAAAATTTAAAAGAGGAAATATTAGTAAGGCTAAAAACATAGGCACTGTGTTTCGTAAGTCCCATGCTGGTCCCAACACATCATATGTTTTCTCATAAGTTACAATGGTATTATTGTCTTGGAACTCTTTCGGGCACAAAACTGTAAATCGAAGCGATAAAATCATTTCAGTGGAAATATTATTCTCGAGGAATAAATTAAAACTTTGTATCTATACATGATATATACCTTCTTTATATGAAATGTTCTCAGATACATGATGTATTGACCAGCCAGCTATGCTATCTGCAAAATGAATATTGTTTTCCAAAATAGTTCACGAGAGCACGTATCTTATTTATGTTTAGGACGAGGATATTTACCGTAAATAAAATTGACACTATTATACAGGAAATTGGCCATTAATATCCAGTAAGCTATAGTTGCACCCAGCAATACGGCAATACTAAATATTCTAGCGACATGTTCTGCCCATTTGCCGAGATATATCCGGCATAAGTCTAAAACTTCTATATCTGATCCACTACCTAATTAATCACAATATTAATTATAATTTGTGAAAAAAATTAATTATGTTGCACGTTATGATTTGTAAGAAAAGTTTTATGATAGAAGAGTCTTTTACCATGATATGCATGTGCAACTACGAGACGATAAGCGGTGTACAGGCATAAACCGCTCATCAGTAAATTGAGGATAATTCCAGGAAAGAATCCAGCCATCGTAATTCCCCATGGCATCGTCAGTAATGACGATCCCAGTATTGTATTCCAAATTGAAAATCTAAAACATAAAAATTAAATAGATTGTATATATCGGCACGCAATTATCATTTCTGAAATTAATTCATTTAAATGAATTTACAATAGTTCAACATCTTAACGTTCTGACCGTTATGGCGCTTCTTAATTTAATATTATTATGTTTAACATTAGCGGTCTTTCAATCTTATTATTGTAAATAGATTGTATTATTTTCATAATATATATTATTTTCATGGAATCTGTAAATTTGTTTTAATATAATCTTTATTCAAAAATTAGAGTTATGAAAGATAATAAATTTTACATAGATATATACACTACTCAAAAAAATTATGACAGAAAAATTGTGGGCAAAAATTGGCCAACTTTGACTAACGATAACTTGGCGAAAAATTATCGTAGGATAATGTTTTTTTTTAATTAAAGCTTGAAATCTCTACTTTAAGACGCTATGGCTAGATTTTAAGTTTGATGCACCCCTGCCACTGTAACTCTAAAATATGAGGGTGTGTTTGTCATATTAAAAATTGCAAAGTTTGACGGAATGCACGGACTTTGTAAAATTTTTTTAGGGAATACCGTTTGCAGCGGCATAAAGTTCGAACTTTCCTCTTTAATTTAAAAAAAAAACGAATCGCTGTGATTTTTTTTGCGCAAAGTCATCCTTGCATTTTTGACATATACTACCCACATTACCGGATATGCACCACGACGAGGTTACTGGATAAATTTTGTACGTTTCTGTGTGTGTGTGTGTGTGTGTGTGTGTGTGTGTGTGTAGATTTTGCACATCGTGTTTCTCGTGTAAATTTAAATAACGCGTGTTACCTCCGCGTTACTCAATTATTGCTTGCAGTCGATTCCTCATATTAATGCAGGCTCTAATTTCTTCCTGTGGAATGTCATTCCAGATTTGTACTAGAGTTTACGATAAGTCTCTAAGATTGACAGGTTGTCTTGCGAAATCTCTTAATTATGACCTATTATCTAGTACAAATCTGGCATGACATTCCGTAGGAAGAAATTAGGGCCTGCATTAATATGAGGAATCGACTGCAAGCAGTAATCGAGCAACGCGGAGGCAACACGCGTTATTGAAATTTACAAACAGAAACATGATATGCAAAATCTATACACACGCAGAAACGTGCAAAATCTATCCAGTAACATCGTCATGGTATATATCCGGTAATGCAAGTAATGTCGGTAGTATATGTCAAAAATGCAAGGA